AAGCAGCGAGGGATGCCAGTTCTATGCGCGGCAGACACACTTGCCCGCGTAAGAGTTAAAAACCATCTCATTGACGTGGCCCTTCGTGACTTGGGGGCTCGACCTGCTTGGACCCTTCAGGAAAGCACCAGGGTGCTACACCCACCTTCTAGTGACAATCGATAAGTTCACCAAGTGGATCGAAGCTAAACCCATAACAAGACTAAGATCCAAAGACACGGTGGAGTTCTTCCTTGACATCGTATACAGATTTGGAGTCCCGAACTCCATAATCACCGACAATGGCACACTCTTCATCGGGAAAAAATTCCTCCGACTCTATGATTACTATGAAATTCAAGTCGACCGGGCCTCCGTCACTCACCCATGGACCCATGGCCAAGTAGAGCGTGTGAACGCCATGATACTTTAGGTCGTCAAACCCCGCATCTTCAATAGGATCAACAAGTTCATGGGATGATGGGTGGGGGAGGTACCAACTATGCTCTAGGACCTAAGGATGACTCCAAACTAGTCCACCAGTTTTACCCCCTTCTTCATGGTATACAGCACCAAGGCCGTCCTACTAGCCGACCTCGACTACGGAGCACCGTGAGTCCTGGCGTACGACGAAGCCAAAGCAGAGAAGGATCAAAAGATGCACTTGACAAGCTAGACGAGGCCCACAAGACAGCACTCCTCCGCTCTATGAAATATCAGCAAACATTACAAAGGTATCACAATAAGAGCGTTTGAGAATGAGTGTTCCATGTCGGCAATCTTATCCTATGGCAGATCCAAACCACCAAGTACGTGCACAAGCTGACACCACCCTGGGAAGGACCCTTCATCATTGTCGAAAGCATCCACCTAGGATCCTACTAGCTCATGAATGATGCTGGCGAGATCTACACCAACTCATGGAACATCGAGTAGCTACGTAGATTCTATCCTTAATGTCACTCCCCAAACATATATAAACCCCCTGTCATCACGAATTCACAAACTAACCTTTTTATGAAAAGATCATAGATCAGAAGGGTCCTAGCAGAACGAGACAAAGGCAAGGAACGAAGAAGCAACAGGCATAGCACGCATAAGACCTGCACCCCTCTTGTCCATTTCTTTAATTTCCTATATGTAATTTTTCCTTGCTTCGTATGCAAGTGGTTGCAATTAAGTCGTGCGTGCAACCCAAGGTGCAGCGAGCCCTTGGGATCACGTGCAGAGTGACCTACCACGTCCACGACAACGTGTCGTATCTAGGAATCCATCTCTTCAGCCAGTCCTTGGAAGGGCTCGAGGCCACAAAGGGATAGGGGCAAGGAGGAGATGGCCCCCATGGCTCTAATCGGTGGTGCAGAGCCACATGACCATCTCGCTCTATGTTCGAGTCATTCACTTCAAAGTTGCCTGGGTTGACCCCCTCTGGGAGGGAGGCATGTTGCCCTCTGATCGTTGTGGAGGCGGTCGAGGACTGACGGGTTTGACGGCCGATGATTTATGGGACGTCTCTCGACGAGGCATAGCCGAACTCCATGTCTATTAGGGAGGATATCGGGTCCTGCTCAAATTACCCATTGACCTCGACTGGACACACCGCTCCGACTGTGTGGTTATGGTGGACATGCCTCTCCCCGCATGGAGCGAAACCAAAATAGCCTAAAAACAGGCCATCGTGACCTCCCGAGGTCGCCATGGATCTCGAAAGAAACAAAGCTAAGTCCCCTAGACGAGCTCCTCCCAGGATCCCCGATCCATGACCTAAAGCTGGTGGATCAGCAGAGGTCAGAGACCCCTCACAGATGATCATTTAGGTTCCTAGGGTTGCGATGATGCCTTCTTCATAAGGCAGTGACAAACCTCGAGCAAAAATAACCAACCATGGTCCGAACACGCATGGTCTGGGCCCGCTCGAGCCTAAGTGACAACTTTTGGCCAAAGAGAAACACCCCACCATTGCGCTGCTACTTGAGAACGAGGTCATATCCCATTGTCATATGGGGAGTCTTTGGCTTAACAAAGTCAAAGCATAAATGAGGCGATGGCTTTTGAGCTGAGGGTGACCTCTCCATTCTGCAGGACGGAAGGTCGACAGCCTACATGGAAGTCTCGACTTCAGAAATAAAAGCCCCGCAACCAAACCTCATGGCCCGGGGGCTCAGCATGACCTCAAGGAAGGGATACAATGTTCGAAAATTAGATCCCATATGTATGGGCATTACACGTGCAGCCTAGCCACGAAGGCAAGAAAGGGAAAAGCCCAATGCCACCACAAGGATGACACCATAGGGGGTACGAGCTGCGGGCATAGTCAGACAAGGTGGAAAAGAACACCTTAAAGACCTCCTCACAACATCACGACCCCCAAAGCTAAAGCACGCACGGAGGAGAGAAGGGTTAAACGACCCTCGGCGCAGAAACATCTTGGTGCGTCGTCATGATGCCACGATGGGGCATAGTGATGAACAACACCCTAGATCCATCATTTGGTCATCAAAAAGCGATGGACATTCTCTCTAAAGAACAACTCACTGCCTGCATGCGCTGATGGTCCATGGCAGAGGGGCAAACCTTCCCTCAATCAACGGCCATCACGGATACCCAAACCACTCAGGCATGGGTAAAACCAAGGCCGCATGATCACGGAGCCAACCTCCACGGCATCTCATCCTTCCCAGCTAGCAAGACCCCTTCTAGCACCAGTTGTTGAAGGGGCGACACTAGCTCCGGCCACCACAAACGACCCCTAGTGGGATGTGTAACAAGAACCAGGTGGTTCTCCTCGAACTTTTCTCTCCCATTTCCTCACTCTCTTAGTGTCTAGCCGCTCAAGGGGGCAAAGGACAGTTTGTAGTCATAGCCATGAGTGGTTCAAATGGAAGGAAGGCCTCTATTTATAGGCCAAAGTGCGGACTTAACAGTCTGAGATCCCTGCGCCATGTGGCGAACCATGAGAGGTCATAGCCAATGTCAAATGCCCACGTGATGTTGGGGAAATTGAGACCCTCCCAAAGGAAGGGCTGGTACAGCATCAATGAGACCACTCGCCCCTGCCTGGGCACGAACCCCGATACGCAGCACACTGACATGGCAAGGCTCAGCAATCACGTACCACGCCATCAGGGTGTCCTGATGGGGCGGAACATAAAGGCCACCTACCACATTGAACACACTAGCAAGCAAAGGGGTCGAGCGATGAAGCTCGAACAAGCCACGACTACGAACCAGCACTCGACATGCATGCATCTCAACGCTTTCATGATCACTTTGTGATCGCAAAAACACTCAGGGGCTACTGTCGGGGTTATGATCCCCGGGTGTCTTAAGGCATCGATTAGTTAGCAGACCAAGTGGCCCACAATACATCAGCTAGCGAAGGCCCGAACGACCGAGGCCTAGCTGAGCCAAGCGGACCCGGCTAGACGCCAAGGACAAGGTCAGCCATGACCTCTCCCTTCTGCCTTAGTCGCACGACGCACAAGAGACTCATGACCTCTCCACCATCTTGACCCCTAGGAGGAATGGGGAGAGGTCGAACCTAGCCAAGCGCACCTGCTCTGACAAGAGTAGACGCACCGCACTAACCCCGCAAGGATAAAGGGGACAACAGTCACCTCAGTTCGGTCAGACGCCATCCCTGTGCCACGCAACACAGACAAGACAACACCTCACGGTGGTGACTTCTAGTATGGCGACCCGCTATCCAAATACAGTCCAACAAGATATATGTGCGATTCTACCCACTACGGGATGTGATCCAAGATGGAGGCCTCGACTTTAAGACCATCCGGACTGGTGGGAGCCATGACCCCAGAGCTCGAGATCATGGCCACCAACTCCACAAGCTAACTAGGTGATTAATGACCTAGGGGCGGCCACCAACTCCTGTACGACGCCCCTAGGAGACCAGGAGGCAATGATGAAGGCCACGGCAGAGACCACGTCGCACAGGACTGTTGGCAAACCACCATCATGCCTACAGTGCCGCCACGGCCAGCATAGTAGCACCACACCACACCTTACCACGATGTGGGCATAAGACCATGATGACAACCACGCCCAGACGTGCACCACAAGACAGCATAGCTTGCAAGGCAAGTTAGCTAGGCTCCTCCCTCAGGCTCATGACCCCTCGGTTGGGAGAACCTTCTGCTTTGTACATGTCCTGGCCCCGAACTCTATATAAGAGCAGCCAGGGCATCCTTCCCACCATTCTGAATCATTCATTCTCATTCTTCAACCTATAGACTCCTGAAGCTTCCCTTCAGGTAGCTCATCTCCTAGCTCTAGCTCTCTTACCTCTTCCACCATTCTTGCACCCCCATTGTAAGAACTTCAGAGCATTCAAGCGAGGAACACGCACTCAATCATCTCTGAGACTGGACGTAGAGCTCCGGCCTGAACTAGTATAAATCCTCGTGTTTTTTGGATGCTACCATCATCTTTCTAGAGCAGCGCGACAATCGTATAAGTTTAGTAGTCCAGTTTACAAAACACCGACAATATTGAACTTCTCTTTCACTGTGGTTTAATTGTATAAATGCAGAATGATGTTGTTGTTTTGTAGTTTTTTCTTGGCTCGACGAATTATGGATCATCTCCCTGTAGAGTGCCATTGTTTCTTAAAATGAACTCAATGATGATCTTAAAATTGTTGATAAACCAAACTTTACTTTTCATGTTTGCTTTTGACTTCAAGTGTTTTTTATTTTTTTATGTTGAAATACTTTCTATGTTCAACCAAATTGCTCTAATTATCAAAGATAATGGTCTATTATTACTTTGCACCCACGGGAAGTTCAAATGAACTATCCAATTTTCAGATGGGCTGATTTCCAAACATAAAAAGTACATCCACTAAGAAGAGTTCTAAAGGTTTTCCTGATATACCAGTGTCTGTGTTGCTTTCCATGTAGTCCTTTCTTATTTAATCAAAGAAAGGGCTCCTAAGGCTGTGTCTCGATCTCCTACATGCGAAAGATAGAAAGGGCTCCTAAGGCTGTGTCTCGATCTCCTACATGCGAAAGATAAGATATGGGAGGTGGGGTCCTATGGTATGGGTCTTATGATATTATAGAAGGCACATCCACTAAACGTAATTTTACTAAAAGTTGATGTCATATTTCAGGAAGCAGAAGAGAAAAGGAAAAAAGATGAGGAACTTGAGAAACAAAAACAGCTTGAGGAAGAATCTGCCAAGGAGGATGCTGATTCAAAGCTTTCGAACGTTTTAGACAGGCTAGATACACTAGAAGGTGTCGTTAAGGAAATTGTGGATGACAAAAGGAAACTCTAGTCCCCTGATTTACCGACCAAAGAGGAGGCTGCGAAGAAAGATAAAGCATCTCCGGGCAAGGCTTCTGATTCGAAAAATGATGGTCAGCCAGTGACAGTCAAGATTAAGGGCATCAGGTGTGCTGCAAATGCTCCAGCAAATACAGCAAAACCAAACATTAAGGGGATTGGTGATAAGGCATTTCCAGTTGAGTCCGAGAGTTGATAAATCATTCTATTTTATTTTTGTGTTTCTTAGAGCCATTACTGTTGTATGGTTCTTGGCTGGGATCGTTTGAGGTTTTCCCCCCTTTTCAACACAAGATGGGTGTTTAGCTATGTAGTTGTGTCCTCAATGGTAAGTGAATGAATAGATGTAATTTCCACATTGGAGTTTCCACACCTGTGATATGATGGGTCTTAGAAAAAAAAAATAGTGTGCTAACGTTTTGTACTACCTAGCACCTTTGATAGTTGAGGCTGTGATCTTGGATAATGAATACGACAAATCTTTCTGCTTACTAGGCTAGGCGATTGTCCGGTAAATGCACTTGTCTGGTTGTGCAACTCGTACTCCATATCAGACCAAGAAAATACATCTCCTTTCACTATATTCTTGCATTGTGGGTGGGTGGGTGTTAGCGGGGGGGGGGGAAGCAAATATTCATCCTCTTCCTTTATCTTCCAAATTTGGAAGATGAATTGGCAAAGGTTATAAGTTTGAGTATTTCTTACCGGGGCAATGTCCAAATGTTGGGTATCCCTGTGTTATGTCTAATAGTGCCATGACATTAGATTTGAATAGTACTTACCTCTGCTTCCAATAAATCAACTTCTAGGCTAAAGTCAAACTTTCTAAGTTTAACCAGATTTATATAAAAGAACACTAAGTTTGGCACTTTTGTAATGCGCCCCAAGAATTGGAAGTCCATATCGGAAACTATTGGAAGTGTTTTTTTTGTCCAAGCCAAAAGCTATTTTTTTCACGGATTTTAAGGAACTTTTGAAGACGATGTATATAAATTATAATACATTATATCATATTGTTATCTCCTAGATCATTTAGACAACTAATTTACTTGTGTTTGCAAGCTCACACGCATATTAGGGTTCAAACTTAACATCTTTGACTAATAGTTTAACCAACAATTTTTAATTGTTGTAATATAAACATGATACAGTTAGATTTGTAATCAAATATATTATTTAATTATCATAAGTTTATAAGAATAAAATATAAAATAAAATAAATGAATGGTCAAGATGTAGTTTGGGAGACCGTGTCATTGTCATACTATCCTCACAAAATGGACCTAAGGGAGTATGAAAATGGACCTGAAATGAAAGCATAATTTTTTAGTCTTTGATATCACTAGAATGAGAGTACTGGCTTCTTATCTCTCTTTTTTCATTTCAAAAGTGGATATGAGGCTTCTTCTTTGTCGCCTTGGTCCATTGGTGCCAAGCTCTCTACTCACATTTCACTATCTTGACGGTTTGTCGTACCTGAGCCTCTAGCTTGCCCTTCACCCTTGCACGGTACATCATAGCTGAGCAATATGCTTCTCCTCCATCTTGATCTTCTCATCTCCTTCATCTTCAACACTCCACTAGTTGAGCAATTACAACACATGCATTACATGCCATTTCCTCCATGACCTCATGTAGCTCAACAACACCTTGTGAGCTATGCATAACCTATTTATTTCATATGAGGAGCATTAGTCCACCAAATGTTATCACTCAATTACCAAAACTAAACTGGGATTTCAATTATTCGACACGTCTGCATTGCAATTTGTGCTCAACGGCATCCTAGGCCAGCCGATTGCTCACGAGAGAGGGCTGCGGCACGGGGATCCCTTTCACTGCTCCTCTTTGTCCTTGCCATTGATCTGTTACAATGACTTATCCAGTTGACAAATATTTATAGAATTCTTACGCAGATCGCAAGAAATTGGATGAGACGTCTTCTCACTTCCATGTAAGATGGTGATGCAGTCATCTTGATCAGGCGATTAAGGTGGAGGTAGATGCCTTGGTGTACCTACTAGACAAATTTGGAGGAGTCATCGGTCTTCACACCAACATCCTGAAGTCCTCTATCATTCTAATCCACTACAAGAGCCTGAACCTTGATCAAATCCTTTTGTGATTCCCATGAAGATTACCCTAGAATCTCACAAATGCAGATAGGGTAACTTTGAAAAAAAAAACTATCCTCTTGTCAGGACAGGTTTATCTTCTCACTATCATTAATGCTCCTAAGGAGGTTCTACAATCCATTGATGGATATAGAACTGTTTCTTGTGGGCACGAGATGAGAGCTTAACTAGGGGCAACTGCAAAATTAATTGGTCCACGGTTGGTCGACCAATGGATCTTGGTGGCCTCAGGGTCCTGGATCTGGTGAGATTCACTAGAGCCCCACAGATTCATTGGCTCTGGCAAGAGTGGGCATGTTCTGAGAAGCCTTGGGTGGGCCTGAGAAACCCTTGCTCCAACATTGATCGGTTCTTGTTCACGGCATCCACAATGATATCTATTGGGGACAGGATAAAGACTTCCTTCCCGCATGTAGCCTGGGTCCAAGGTTGGCAGCCTATTGATATTGTCCCTGTCGTTTTGCCACCACGAGGAAGAAAAATAGAATGGTCAAGGAAGCAATTGCTGACCAGACATGGATAAAAAGACATTGATATTCATGCATGTGGAGGCTCACTGAGTCATGAGGTCCACTAGTTTCAACCTTAAATCACTGATTTTGGAAGCCTTAGGGTCCACCGAAATGCAATTTTTTTTTGCGTAGCTCATCATATACAATCGTGTTTGGACGTCGAATTGACTAGAGGTCCGTGGTTGTCCAAGAAACTCTTCCTGCCCCCCTTTGTCGGAATGACCTGGAGACGACTCACCACATCCAGACATCCTTTGTGGAATGTCGTTATTCGAGGCATATCTAGAGTTGCATCGTCATCTGCTCCCTCAGCTTGAGACGTAGGGGTGGCCTTTCTCTAATTCCATCAAGCAGTGGTGGAAAACCATTGGGTCTTTGCCTAGGGGCTATAGGGTCCCACGGAACGGCTTCAGCTCCTCTTGCTTCTAGTAATTTTTTTTAACAGCTCTTGCTTCTACTAAATTGGAAGATTTGAAAAGAGAGGAATTCACACACATTTCAGAGAAAAGAGTTGCTGTCTCTGGACCTGGTCCAAAAGATCAAAGAAGAGGTAAGGACTTGGGATTTAGCTCGTGAAAAGTTTTTGTCCGCATTGATTGTGGATGCTTAGTTTCCTTTCCTGTGATAGTCTGTTGTTTGTGTCTTGTTTTTTTATCTCTATATATGGCCTTCCATGTCGTCTACTTGTATTTTTTTGAAATATAATGGAAATGGTGCAGTGCCATGCCCGTTGGTTCAAAAAAAAAAAACAAGTTATTGCCAGGGGTATGGCTGCTGCTTGCTGCTTGGACGGTTACGTGTTACCGTGCATCGTCATTCTGTATGAACAAATTTGTGGCTGCACTACACACACCATTCAGGCCCTACCCTATCCTCTATCTTTTCTCTCACTATTGTTTCCTTGACTTGAAGATCCGTGTTTGAGACCATTGCCTTCCTTGCTAAGCCTTGCTAGTTCAGATTCACACCTGTCAGTCTCGTATCTGTTAACACTCAACAGGTCGTGCCGCAGTCAGAATTCAGAAACCAAGCCTGTGCGCTGTGCCACAAAGTCCTGAACCTCGCGTAGAAGGAATCAAAGGGACGAACGCCATCCACTTTCGCAATCTGAACATCCAAAAGGCAACAGGACATTATACATACATAAAAAAAAGGCAACAAAAGAAGCTCAGGTCAGCTGAGATGGCACATGGCTGCGCGCCAGCCGTCAGCCCCGCAGGCAAGTACACTGGCTAACGCTGAAACGGAAGGGTAGGCTGGTGGTAGTGGTAGCTCAGTGTATTGCCTCGTCAGCCTCCCATCAGTCATCAAAAACCTCCCACGAATTCGCATGGAAATCAAGTGGAGGCTACAGCTAACTGCAGGGAAGAGGATTCAGATCCGATTTTTGCCATCTGGGATTGCCATTTGCAAATTTGATTCACATCATTCACTGCCGAGACCAGATCTGGACCTACTTGAAACGCTGTAAATCCTCCTCTTAATTAGACAATAGTCCACCACAAGATGTTAGTATGTACTTTATGATTTTTGTATAATAATATAAGCGGTTTGGCAGGGATCTGCAGTGTATATATGGAATGTTGGATTAATTTGGAGTGAATTAAGTTAGTGCATTAAGGACATTAATAACGTTGACATGTATGGGAGTCTTGATTTAAATCTCGGCTACGTTTTAGGGAGAAGAGGGCTTTGGAATGCTGGTAGTTTTCGTTGTTTCAAATCTCCAACCGGAAATGGAAGGGTTTTAGAGTCAGCTTTGAATGACTGCTTGTTTTTTTTTGTTGCTGATTGAGTTTCCATGTAGATTTTGAAATTGTTTCGATACTTAGCTGGGAACTGAAAAAATAGAACTATTTTAAGCAGGGAACTAAGATCAGCTGTACAAATTTTAGTAGCAACAATAATTATAGTAGTCAATTCCAGATAGAACTATTTTAAGCAAGGAACTAAGATCAGCTGTACTCCATTTGACTTGGTTTTTATTTTATTCTACTCTATCTACAACTGTTTATACCATCCAACTCATAACATTCTTCTAATTTTCAATTCGGTTGACTTTGACCAATGAACAACAGGAACAAGTACTCACCCGAAAAAGGGGAAAATGGACAAGAAGGAAACAAGATACATATGACAGACAAGTCGGGAAAAAAACACAGATTTTTTAATTAGTTCCATGAAGGAACGATGCAAGTAAAGATGAACTACATGATTACATTTACAAACCCTTGCTTAAACACTAATCAGCTGACCATGCATATGATTAATCAGAAACAAAATGAATCACTAACAGGGAGCAGCTACATAGATAATAGAGCATCATATTCGCCCTTGGATATACT